TGGACACATAGGGTACTGTAAGTCAGGAATGACATCCTTCACGGATGGGATCAGATCACGAATTCTGTGTACTGTATTGAACCGGACATGGATCTTGTGTTTGTTTAGAATTTTGGAAATCTTTTTAGTAACGCCTGCTGTATATGGTAGTGTGATGGTTTTGATCGGAGTATCAAGTGGTTGTTTCTGTATGGAGGGAGAAACAGCTTGGCGGATGGTACGGTCAGAGTATCCATTCCTTTTGAGGGCCAGGTGTACATGTTTTAATTCACTGGTCAGGTGGTGTTGGTCCGAAACGCAATGAGCCCTGTGGTATAAAGTTTTGATGAGAGAATTCTGAGCTGGGTGGTGGTGGGAATCAGGCTTCAAGTAGGAATCCGTGTGGGTGGGTTTCCTGTAGACAGAATGCCCTAACGAACCATCAGGTCTCCTCTCAAACAGAACATCCAAGAATGGTAGCCTGCCATCCTTCTCCACTTCCATGGTGAATTTGATGGCGGGATGTCTGGAATTGATGTGGTGTAGGAAAAGGTTCAGAGCTGGGAGGCCATGTGGCCAAATGACGAAGGTGTCATCCACATATCTCTTCCACAGGGAAGGTCTGAGGGTGGAAGTCTGGATGGCGTCCGATTCAAATTTCTCCATGAAAACATTGGCACACGGCAGAACGAATTCTTCTGCCGTAGCTGATCACTGTTACAACGCTGTGGGTGATCACGATATAATTTTCTCCGATACCAAGGTTCTTTGCAAACCCACGGGTTTCTATCAGAGATTTGTTCACGAGGCAATTCAGATCTACAAACACAGACACAATTTCAACCGAGAAGATGGTTTCAAATTAAGCAACCATTGGAAAGATGTTATAAATCGAACCAAACATTAAACTAATTTTTCAATGGTACAGTATATTTTCTAGTAGTGGTACCCCCAAACTTTCGCAGCTTAAAATCCCCTTTTCACACCACCAGCATGTGGACGCTGCCGTGTCACCTCGCCAGCCTGCACAGGTCGACCCCCTCCCTATCTTTCATCATGCTAATTCCGCCTATTAAAATGCAATTTTTTCATGCTAATTCCTTTGTCAAGGCACCTTAATCCCTCTCACACAGCTTAAAGGCTGTGGTCTGAGCTTGGCTCTGTTTCACTCCAGCGCAGTCTTCGAGACAGTCTGGTCCCTTCACCTGATGAAGGCCGCTTGTGTTGTGGCCAAAACGTCGTGTTTTTTGTTGTTTTATTTTTTACCTACGTGACTTTACCGAATAGAACCAAAGAGTATGGATCCTTGCAGTCACGAAAGCTTCAAATCTAAAACACAAAAATAGCACTAAATCGCTAATTAAACTAATTTAAAGTTAACGGATGTGAAAAAGGAAGAGCGCTTGCTCACCGCGGGGCTTACGGCGTGGTACCTGCCTATTTTTTACGTAAACCCCACTGTTGTAGAACCAAGCGCGGGACCACACACACCAAACCCCGCCACAAACCCCGCCACAAACCCACACACAAACCCTACCACAAACCCACACGCAACTTTTGACCCATATATATAGATAGCCCTGTGAGCCATGCGGCTCTTGACTCGAGTACCACCGCAACAAACAAAAACATGAACAAACATCTTAAACAGAAAAATCCAGGAAAAAAAACAGCAAAGTCTTCCAGAAAAAAACACCGTATATCAACGCTGTGTGCAAAAATCCCAGTGGGATGTAAGTCAAACAATAACAACCATAAGACAATTTAGAATAAAGTTATCAGGCTAACTCTATACTTCAACAAACAAACATGGCTAAACCATACATCTTCGAAATCAGCAAAATAAAGCTATAAAAACAATGTAACAGTGATCATAGGAACTGTTATTCAAATTTAACAATAAACGATATACATAACATGTACGACCAAACTTTGCAGCTATAGCTGGCAGAATGAGTCATTCCATAACAGCAGGAGTATCAGCAGGAGTATCAAAAAGTTTCAATGCACTTTTAAAGATCAGCACACTATAATAGAAACTCAAAAGAATATCTTGATTTGAAGATAATACTTTGCAGTGGTCATCCGCAGCAATGCATATGATTTCAGGGCACACTGCATAGCAGTGGCAGCTAGGGGTGTACAGCTCCTCAAGAGCAGTTTTGTGAGAAAATCTCACAGGTAGTGATCTAAGTTGCAGTTTATTGGCGATAGCATTCCAGACCCTCAGGGCATCAACAGGAAAGGCCCTTCCTCCAGTATTTGTAAGGCAATAAGGAATGTGAAGCTGGTAAATGAGCGAGGACCTTAGGTTACATTTGTTCTTAGAAACAGTGAGGAGATCCAGCAGGTAGTCTGCTCATTTTTTTGTAAGTACATCGTTAATAAATGAGATCTGATGTACAAGCCATCGATCATTAAGAGATGTTAAGTTTGACCCAATGTAGAGATCGCAGTTGTGGGTCCTATATGGGCAGTTCAATGCAAATCTTGAAGCCGAGTGATAAACTGAGTCAAGCTTCTTTGGTACAGAATTTTTTACGATGTCACAGTAATCAAGTAGAGGAAGTATGGTAGCTTTTATCACTTCCAAATGGAACATAGGGTGGAAGCAATGCTTGTGTCGACACAGAAAACCATTTTTTTATTTTTGCCTTTTAACCGATATAATCAATGTGATCTTGAAAATTCAGTTTTGAATCAAAGATGACCCCAATATACTTCTAGATCTTGACTTTCTCTATTTAATCATTATTTAAGGAATATAATTGGGGAAAAACAACTTCTTGCTTTGGTCCTGGTGAGAAGCATAGCACCTTGGTTTTGGAGGTATGCAGGACTAGTTTAAGAGCAACTAGCTGATGTTGTAGTTTGTTGAAATAATTCTGGAGCTTAGCAATCACGTCATCCGGAGAATGGCCAGCAGTAATCAGTATCGTGTCATCTGCAAACAGATTTACCCTGGAATGATCCAGGTCAGTGCCCATGTCATTGACATGGGCATTGACAGGGGGACCAAGGATGAAACCCTGTGGAACCCATACTCTTTGTTTTTTTCTGTGGAACCCCTTTTGTTATCTTAACACTGTTTGATCTCCAACCATCTATGAATACAGTTTGGGTGCGAGAAGAGAGGTGATTTTTTTTACCATTCCACTGTGTGTTTGGAGAAACGGAGGCAACTTGGTTTACTAAGCAGGGTGTTGTGGTCGACTGTATCAAAGGCTTTGTTTGGACAAGTCAAGAAAAAGACTGGCTCAGTACTGCTTATTATCAATGCTACTGTAAATGTGATTTAGATAATCTAATGCAGCGGATGTGGTGCTGTACTTTTTTCAGATCCCAGAGTGGTTTCGATGTAAGAGATTATCGGACAGGAAACTGATAATTTGGCAGTTGAATCATTTTTCAAGTAATTTTATCAACGGGAACAAAATTGAGATAGGTCGGTAGTTATTTGGATCATTTTTAGGGCCCACTTTGTGAAGTTGACGAACATAGGAATGTTTCCATTCTAGAGGTACTGATGCTTCTTTGATGGACAGGTTGAAAATATGGGCTATAGGTTTGTATATTAGGTGACCAACAGTTAGCAGAGCAAAGACAGGAATACTATCTGCTCCAGTAGAGGAGGACCCTTTGAGGTAGGGCAGTTGTTTCAGAACATTAATTTCGTGGATAGGCTGGAAACTAAATTCATTTAATGTTTGGACAGAGGTGTAGGAAATTGCATGAACAGGGGTTACTCCCAATACATAATCAAAAGCGTCACCAGCTTCAGAAAAATGAAGGTTAAATTGTCGATTATTGTTTGGGGCTCTGAAAAAGTCCCCATTTTGGTTAAGCGCAACGAGAAGATTACCTGTGTTAGATGCCTTTTCGATACATTTTATTGTTTTCCAGAAGATGCTGGCATTACCATGTGATTCCAGGAGAGTGGAGGAAATATAAGCATTTTTGCATGCCGTATTTTTTTAACATATCTGAACTGACTGTGATTGTCACTGTGTGTTGCCGGGCTTATGAAGCCACAGCAGATAATGTGTTAGCATTACGTGTAGCCCGCTTACTGGGCGTAGTACCAGCCCTAGCGGGGCTTGGGTGAGCGCTGGTCAGTGCGGAAGCACCACATACAGTGTGCAGTGCGGGCTCCAGGTGAGGGAGCGAGAGGGAGTGTCAGCCAGCCAGGGTTACGTTGGGGCATGATACGCTGGTTGACCTGCCAACACGTGACTGGATGATATTGGAGGGGGGTCACCGGTGGACGGGGGCCGCTGGGTGGTCACGTGGTCTAAAAGAACTCTCGGGGAGCCTTCGGGGAAGAGCTCCAGAGATCTAGAAGGTGGGCGGGGCGAGGGGTGGAGCCAGCCCAGCCCAGCCCAGGCCAATATAACAGAGGCCCCGTGAGGGACTCGGGGTTCTTCGTGTTGCTGGTGGTGCTGCTGGCGGAACAGAGTGCAGTCGGGGCGTGCGGCGCCTCGCCTTCATTGGAGGAGCTCGTTAGAGACGCGCACAGCCGTCTCGCTGACCTCCAAGCGGCATCCTCGATCCTCGGTGAGATGCGGTCCCTGCCCTCGACGGCGAAGGAGGGTGCGACGGAGTTGTCCGGACGGGGCAACTTGGCCACCATTTAACAGAAGGCGGGAACGCCATCGCCGCTGCCCGCGCTGACAGGCGCCATTTTGCCACCGGCCGAGAGCACTGAGCCCGCCAAGCTTGAATCTGGGACGTCGGGCTGAGGTCTTGCTGGCATGGCCACCTCTGCTCCCTTGGCCTCGATGTATCGATGGTTCTGGCTGTGTGATGGGCTTTGTCTCTCGCTGATGCGACCACCGTTACGGTGGTTCACTTGCGTGGATGCGCTTGCCTCACAGCGCAATTGGCAGCGCCGCAGCTTGTTACACATAGACATGATATTAACTTGCTAATGCACATGCATAATGTACCTTTACTCGGGAATTTCTCCCCCCCCCCCCCCACAACTTTGCACAAGAGCGCAGAATCGTGGTCCCCACATCTACGCCTCGAAATGTGTAAATGGGCCGTTCTATGGTGACAGTGGGTGTACTATACACAAGGGCTCACTAGAGGGCAGATTCCGGATGTCACGGTGGTCGGGTCAGGACATGACAGTCTGGGTGAACCCGCGAGAACATGTGACTGGGACGAAGGGGCCCCCAGAAGGGGGAAAATGGGCCATGTGATGTGGACCCAGACTCTTCGCTAAAGATCGAGAAGGGGGCGTGACCAGGGGTGGAGCCCATTCATGCCACAAGAAATATAAGTCGAGCCTCGAGAGGGAGCGTCGCTGTTCAAGTCGTCTTCTTTGGTCCTCGCTCTTTAGTCTCCATACGCGACGACACGACGGCGTGTTGGCTGTTCTGGTTCAACCATATAGGGATTCCCTTCAAGTGGTTAGGTGGTTAAGAACAGTGGCCACCACCTTACGTAGTTAACCTGTAATGTACATAGTCGCTCGGAATGTACATAGTTGACTGTGGAACATTGAGAAGTGTTTGGTTGTGTTAGAGAATAAACGTGTTGCCTCCCAGTCTTGGTGTGCGCCTGATGAGAACCCACTACATAAGGAACGAAACAGTTAAGACTTCTCCACAAATCTGGCTGACGCCTGATGAAGCTAGTTGTAATGCCCGGCGAAACGTCGTACTCAAGATTATAAATGTTGTGGCGTGGCTCTCATCACTAGTACAGCACACAACGGTGTGCTGTACTAGTGATGAATTGGCAAGTTCTGTTTACGTGACAACCGTTACTAGTTGGCTGTGTCGGGTAGTGGCGGGTTTTAATGACAAATTAATTTATTTACGCAATCTAACAAAAAAACTATTATTTATATTGGTCGCGAAAGCCTACCTGTTAAACTGACATACACAAATACTAAGCTATTATAAAAGCCTGGCATTCCGTTTGTCCATTTGTCCATCAACAAAATAATAACAGGCTTTCTGAAGACCTGAATCAATAAGTTATAGAAGTGGGGGTCAAAAGTTGATTGAAAGGTTTCCAAATGTTGTCGACCCCCCCCTGCCCATTTATTTTGAAGGCATATATGCAGGCACACCCTACATACAATATAAGTAGTATCTAGAGACTCTACAGTCGTATCTGACTCAAGAGTCGTATCTACTGACTACAGTAGTATCTACTGTCTATTGTAGTAAAAACACATTTGGGTGGGGGGGGGGTAGAAGAGGACATCACACTGTTCAGGATTTATTTAAGCATGATTGTGCAGCAGTAACTGTGCTTGATGTTTTTTGCCATTTTTTACGTGAAGAACCCGTTTTCCCTTGTATATACTATATTCGTGATTTCGAAGACAATGAGTTGGGGGGTATGGTTCCTAGGCTAGAAAAATACCTTTGACCCTGTATCACATGAACAACAGCAGTCACGTAAATGTTCTGCACAGGTTAATGTCAAAACAAACGTTCGTCTAGTTAGGACATTCCATTTTTGACCATTTTATACCAAATGGTACGTACAGCAAAATGTCTGCTATCACGTATTTTACCATCTAGAATGCTCTATTAACCGGCATTTGTAAAACGGAAATGTAAATATTCCTTCAAGTATAAAGAAAAAATTCTGCCATCTTACAGCGTGCTTCAGGAAGTTGCTGAGTGGTGGTGCTAATAGAGTCGCAATTGCAATCATCTGCAATCCACCATTGTGATCGTGTTCGTGTTGTGGGCTGCCTAACCTAATTGTTTCACTGTGTAGGGGTGTTGCGGGAAGGGAACACACAGTCACATCATGGTGGCTACAACCACGTCCGCTATAGCCCTGCCCCTCAGTGGTGTATGGGTATAAAGGGCGGGGAGCCAGAGAGCTCGGGGCAGTGTGTTAGGGCCGAGAGTGAAGAACCAGTGAAGAAGGAAAACCCGGCTAGATATACCCTGGGACTCGCCTGACCGCTGCCCTTTTGAGGGCTGGCAGGGTAAGTCAGTGGTGCGGCCCCAGAGCCTTAGAGCCAGAGCCCTTTTAAGGGTCGGTCTGGTTGGTGGGGTGCCGTGACCTGTGCCATGACCAGGGCCAGGTCAGATAGCCTCCTCTAGCGCATGTAGCGGAGGAACTGAGAGCACAGGAATTAGGCGAGATAGCCTAGGGGGTGTCCCAGCGTGTATACGGGTGAAGGGGCCGTTACCCCTTCCAGTGTAACCCTTGCCAAGCTTGAATAAACAGTGCTGCCTCTACTACACCGTCTCCATGTCCCGTGAACCCACTACAACTGGTGTCAGAAGTGGTCTTTGTAAGGGACACAAGACAGACAAACTGCTGGCAAGAACCTGGGGAGGAAGACGACTCTGCTGGGACAGCTGGGACAGCGTCAGCGGACTTGGCCGACAACCCCGGGATGCCACAGGCGACCCAACAGCCGCCACAGCTGGAGGGGGTGGCCACCGTTAGGGGACAGGTTATGGGCGGCTCACTCCCGTCTTGCCAAGCTGCTGTACGCCGCGGCATCCACGCTGGAAGAAATTAACCGCGCGGGGCTGGGGGTGCCGATACAGCATGGCGAAGAACGCCGGTCAACGGCTGTTCCTGCCAGCACACAGCCGCCAGAATTTGGATTTAATGCCATGGTGGTGTCTACTACTGAGATTGGAGGGCCGGAGCACCACGTGGACAGCGGGGGCCAATCAACGGCTGCAGCGTCATCACCAAAGGACGTTCGCCGCCAGGACCAATCGGCAGGCGCAACGTCATCAACGATGGACGAGCGCTGCCGACTCCAATCACGAGATGCCGCGTCATCGACTGTGCGACCGCCGATGGGGACCGCCATCCCCTCCAGTGCTGACAAAAACGGCGGGAACAACGGGCAGCGGCTGTTGGAAATGGAGCCATCGTTCCAACAGCGCTTGCCTGTGTTGAAAGAATTTGTGTCCGACGGTGGCGACTGGGGGGCCTTTGAGCGTCGCTTCCTCGCTCATCAAGAGATGTCCGGGTGGACGGACAATGAGGCGCTGCATGCCTTGCCGGCCACGTTGGATGATGACGCTCTCGCCACCCTCATCACGTCTCCCAAGTCGGCGCGCGCTAGAATGCAGTCGGCGCTGTGACTCCTCGCCACTGTCTACGGGCCGCCATCGGACTGTCGCCAACTGTTTCACGAGCGGCGCTGGGGCCAGAAAGTCGCCGCTTGCGTACCGCATGGCTCTCCTCGCCCTTGCAAAAGCGGCTTTTTCGCGCATGGACTGCGAGGGGGTGGACACGATGGTTACAGAAAAACTCAAGAACTGCAGATCATTGCCCTCGCAGCCGACGACGGGGACATATGTTCCTTGCGGGCAGCGAGGAAATACACGCACATCTGCTGTCACAACGCCAACCACCTCTCGTCACCAACGGTGCTGCTGCGGTGTGCGCTGGGACGTCAACCATCCCCTCATCCGAGGAGATCTTCGCTGCAGGTCACCCTGCAGAGTGGAGGTCCGGAGGGAGGCCGGCTCGAACGACATCGAGCCACCGGGGCCTCAAGGGCCACGTGGCTTCGGGATGCTGGGCGCCGCGACAATGCCCGCCGGGACCCCAACCGGACGACGCCCCAGCCCACAAAACTCTTCATCAAACTCCGACAAGTCGCGGCACCCTACATGCTCAGCCTGTGCACACACCTGTCACTATCTCACGCGCTTCGATATACGGATCTCGTGGTAAGGCCGCCGGTTCGCCGGTTTGCTGCGGGGTCGAGATGGTGCTCAGGCCGGGCCAGTGGTCTGAATTGGCTCACCGAGTTGTCGCTGCGTCGGCGGGTTCGTCCGTTGTTACGGGTCGCATCAATGAGGTTGAGGTGCATGTCCTTGTCGATATGGGGGCATCGGCAACGATTGTATCGGATTTGATCTATATCTTCCCCGTTCAGAGCCGCCCCTTGCTGCCGGTCGACGTTCCGGGTTATGCAGCAAACGGGGGTTCGTTGAGTATCATAGGCCAGATCCGAGCACAAATTTGCATTGGGATATCAAATTATCTGGGCCAACATGTCTCATCCTCGCTGGTGGTTCCATGCTTGTTGGGGACAGGCTTTTTGGCCAAAATGCCGATTAAAATATTGATTGACCAGGGATGCAGAGCTCCCTTCGGGCCGACGTATAACATTCCTGCCTTTCCCCGTTACCTCAAGGACGGCCTGTGCGACGATACAGGCATTCATCACTCGTACTGTGCGTGTGCCACCGGGCGCGCAAATGCTCGTACCTCTTCGGTTACGTCGATCTTTCGCGACGTGTTTCGGACCACGGCGTTCTGTTAGGGCCCTCAAAGGCTGGGGAAAACGGGTTGGATTTGGTGGCCGCTCAAACGATTGTGAAGGGGAGTGATGACCCATTCATCATGGTCCTTAATGTCGGGGTGCAGACGGCTGTGGTTCCCCAAGAGATCGTGCTCGCACACGCGACGCCGGTACCCGTGGAGGAAACGATTATGGGACATGTGGGGGCCGACCCTCCGACTCAGCCACGTTCCATTGGGGATGATAGTTGGATAGACGCACTGTGTTAAGGAACGAACGATCTATCCGACTCCCAGCATGTCAGATTACGGAACCTTTTGATTGAATTCGCTGACGTTTTTAGTAAGCACAAATATAATATTGGGTGAACAAATTTGCTGCGACACCACATTGACATGGGTGCAAATTCCCTGGTACGTCAAAATCCTTTTCAGTTGAGCCCTGCCGAAAAGGATCATGTTAAAACGGCTGTGGACGACATGTTGGCTGCGGAAATTATATCTTCTTCTACCGGTCCGTTGGGGGCACCCATAGTGCTTGTGAAAAAGCACGATGGGTCCTTGAGATTTTGTGTGGATTTTTGTCGCCTAAATAAAATCTCGGTGGCTGATGCATATCCACTCCCCCGAATGGACGAATCTCTAGATGCTCTAGCAGGGGCACGATTTTTCTCTACATTGGACTTGTCAGGATTCTGGCAACTTCCATTGGATGATGATTCCAAACCAAAGACTGCATTCCGTAAACCATACGGCCTATTTCAATTTAACTGGTTGCCTATGGGATTA